TTCAAGGAAGATGAAGGATTCCTTAGTATATCATCGAAGATATACACCAGGTTATCTCCATTAACCCCCAGTTGATGTCCTTCGTATCTCAACCGCCCACCACAGACAGTGTGGATATGCCTGATGACCCTGCGTGTAACTTTTTTTTTATTTTTGGCAAAATATCCAAATATGACACAGATGTTCCAGATTAAGTGGTATCTGTTAAATTGTGTTCAAATCAACATTGGAATGAAAATGAATAGTGTTAATTGATAAATCGTCATCAGTACATTTAAATGTTGAATTGAATGTCACATTTAACGGCATCTTCTTCATTTAGAAAGTTTTGAATCAAATTTGCTGCATATGAGTACAAATATAGGTCTAGTTACTGCATGATATAACGGGGCCAATTTTTATCCATGCGAATTCCGACATCAATACCCCCCCCCCTTTTTTTTAATCCCTCAAAAAATATAGATATTGTCATTTAAAAATCCAAGCATCTTTTTTCTTTAAAGTACTTGTGTCAAAAATCAGAATGTTTTTAAAGTTATAAATATGCAAAATACCAATCACTAGTAAATTTACGCCTTTCATTTTTATTGAAAAAGTAGCTCTTAGATATAATTGATTTTGGTTAAATCTTGTGATTTTAGATTTTATGAAAGTTCCTTGGAGTTCACAAACCATTTCAAATATATAGATGCACAGCACTAAAAATGTTTTTACTTCACTGCTGTAAATATTTTTTATGAAAAGCAAAGTTACAAGCTTGGTAGAACAACCAATCTGCATTATACATTTAAGTTTAAGTTTTTTGACAGCTACTTTTCAATAAAATTTCCACTCGTAAACTACTTTCCTTGCCATTGAGCAATTGCAATTATTCTGTTAAAATCATTCTGATGGTACACACAAATACTCTGAGGTTGACTTTTAAAAGTTGCTTGAGGTTCTGACTTATGTGGCTTTTGAAAATTGGGTCATCCAACATTCTGTTGGAATTTATAGGTTTGTCAATTGCGTGTCGTTATTAGCATATTATTATTGAATTCATATAAAGCATAATATATTCAAAATATACATGAAAAGAAGAAAACACTGGCTGTACCCTTCAATTCGACATTTAAATATATTGACGGCATATATAGCTTATATCAATTAACAAATAGTCCATTCCTTTCATTTGTTGACGACTTATATCCCAGTGAACGTGAAATTAAGGATAATCTCAGAGTCCGACACTTTTGTTTCATACTAATATTTGGATATTTTACCAGAAAAAGACGATCACAGCAACCTAACAAAACAGGGCTTTATGAAAAACGTGATGAATTAACCTTTTTTTGATCGTCTATTTTCCTAACTTATTCAGCATCATTTACTTTTATCCTGCATTTACTCCTTGCTCTGGCCTAAAGAAGATTACCTTATAAACCAAAGCATTAATCGGTCAAAGTCCTAATATATGTAAAGCCTCATCATGTATTTCGACGTTCTAAAGCATTGGGATGCCATGTGCATTGCAATGTTTGCGCTTAGTATCAACTACAGCCTAAATCGGGTTGAAAATAGCTCGTTATGGGGATATTTCAAAGTACGTTTCAGAATAAACAAAATACATGGTTACCGTCTTGAAAAATAAGTGATACTTGGGCTCGGATAGATATCTCTCGGTTTATTCGATATGCGAGAGCATGCTCTACATTTGAACAACTTCTAAAACGACTTAAGTTACTTACAGTGATGTTGAAAAATATTCATTTAACAGTCTTGTTTGAAGTCATTTCCTAAGTTCTTTGGTCGATACAAGACCTTGTCAGCAAATTAAATCTATCATTTATCAAATGATTTTCTGATCATGAAAATGAACACACGGCAGGTATGACCGTTTGGCTGGGGATCCTTACTCCTCCATGGAACCTGATCCATTTTCTGGTGTTTAAAATGTCTACGTTTGCTTTCACCTTATTTGTATTCAAATTGTCTTCAAATTCAAATTGTCTTATTATAAGACTGAGAAGAGAATACATACAAAAAGAAATTTTGAAAATATATAGAGTTTCTAGCCGTAGAAAAAAAGAGCAACAAAGCAAATCAATACACTTTCAGTACATTTTTAAGTGTTGTGTATACTGCGCTATGTAAAGTATGAATAACCGTTTATCAAAATAAAGCAAAACTTCCATTATTTGAACATTATTTGAACATTTAATAATTTCACATTTTGAAGCTTGGTATGGAGAGAACACATGAAATCAATTATTTTATGAGTCTGGAATGACATTAATTGATTCAGGATTAATCAGACCTTTGAGAGAGCCTATTTACTAATAATAAGCATCAGATCGATACATACATGTACAAAGTTAAAGTGAAGGGACATGAGAGGTGTCATGTAGCATACAAAGATCAAGTCAAAAGATTTAAGATAATTATAAATAATTACCTGCAGAAATAAATAAAATCTATGCATGGAGAAATAAAACGCCTTTCTTTGTTAATAATTTATCGTACCCAAGTTTATTGTTATGCCTCCAATTGATTTTTACCACATTTTAGTTTTAACTTTTCTGCATTTATTATTCACTATTCATGAACTCAATTTTTTTTTTCAATTAACACGGTTTTTAGAAATATCAAGACTGATCGGGATAAACAAAGCGAAAAAACTAATAGCGTTATCGTGTTTATCGATTCCATTACTTTCCAAGTGGCTTCAGATTACCAGACAAATTTGACTCAACGTTCATTACATAAAACAAAAATTACCGTAAGGAAATTTTTGTACATTACATCAACATTTTTGTGAAGTCTTAGTTTCTCTTTATACATCTTACTGAATCACTTTGATATTAAATTATCTCCATACTTACCTTGCACATTTTTTCACTTTAGATTATCTTCTACCATGAAATCTGTCGTACTCGTTTTCCCTTCAGCAAAGAAGATATATATATGTTCCAACGAAAAGAAAAGTTTTATAAAATCACTGATCATGAGAAGAAAGTTTTGTTACATGTATTTTACAGGCTCCATGAACATTCAAAACCTATAAAGTCATAAACTTTTAGCGTTTATTAACATTGTCACCGAATTTTCCACTACATTAGAGTCCAAGACAGAAAAAGGATGAGAACGGTTACGAAACCATTTGGCACCACTTGAAAATCAATCAAATAAGACAGAATGTTACTAGGGGTCGACCAGGAGGCTCCAATACAAACAATTGTCTCCGACAGTCAAACTCCTGGCTTTTCTGCCAATTCCAGTCTTTGTAATTGAATGTTCTATTGGTATAGTGGCCTTGCCTGAGGTATTGTAATGCTAGTCTACGAGTTTCGTCATCTTGTCCCCAAGGATAAGATGGCAATGCTAAATCATTTGTCCAGTGTCGATAGTCTGTTATTTTAGAGGATGTTCCACAAAAACGAAATGTGTGGTGAAAACGTTATTCAGTCTATTGTTAATTTACGACCTGAAACTACTTTGTAAATTTTTAATGCTAATATTTTATTTCATTACCTCGTATAATTTGTTTTACTTGTATTTTTGTGAATAAACTGGATCCCTCTATAGAGAAGCCATATGTTTATCATTTATTTAAAAAAAAAAGCATTTAATATTTTTTTATCAAAGCAAGTAAAAGATAAACTAGATGCTTATTCTTTTTATATATGTTTTTTTTTTACATGATGATATGTAACATGATAACTATTGATTAATTGCAATTTACTAATCATCAATTAAACACCAAACCAGTAGTTATAGTTGCATAGGCTCCACTTTCTATTATCATATTTCAGTAGAATGTCCCGTCAAATCATTCCGCTTTACGCTGATCGATTCACTGCATTTATTGTTACAATATTTAGTTCCTATATTGATTGCTTCAAGTTATTTGATATACCCATACCCAAGATAAATGTCGCGATTTGATTTTTTATCTTTGTTATCATTTGTTGGTTTGTCTATTTGTCATAATGTTTCACAATATTTTTTTATATTTCAGTTCTGGAATTGTACTTAAGTTTGAAAACTGCAGTTCCCTTTAAACGTATTAGTCCTAACTTTGACCTTAAACGCCTTTAAATAAATAATTTTGGCGCTCATATGTTCCACTTCGGCGTTTTTTAAAGCCCATTCGACTCTTTAATTTTGTTATTTCTACAAAATCAGGAATATGAAATTTGTATTTGATAGGAGAGCAAAAGGAGTTTACTCTGTATTTTTCGTAAACGCCATTACGATTAATGAAATTGAAAAACGATTAAATTTTTTATTGAGGAAAAAATGTAATATTTTGTGTTCGAAAGTATTATTAGAAAGATTTTCAAAGTTTATCATTTCAACACAGCATTTTCCGTTATGATCGCTAATTACAAGTTTGTATCGACGAGTTAACTTGTTTACAAATTAAAAAAAATATATGGAAACGTGAAGGACTTTATAAACAATTATTAGCTACAGAACATTAAAGTCCAGGCGTTTTTGAATCATTGACAGCTCCTTTTTTCAATAAAAATGAAACTCGTAAATTTACTTAGATTAAACTTGTCATTGGTCATTTGCATAATTACTTTGTAAAAAAAAACATTCTGATTATACACACAAAGCTTGACAATAAAGATGATATTAAAAAGATACACCTTTGTCTGATAACAATATCTTAGTAATTTTATGCAAGATCATGTCCTATGTATGAAAAATTTCTAAAATAAGTTAAGTTATTGACAAATAAGTTGATAAAGCAAGAATGTCAGCAGCCTTGTTTAAAGTCATGTAATTCATATGAAACAAAACTTGATCAAAATCGTTTACGTTAAATACAGAAACACTGTCTTGCTGTTGGATTGGCATTCATCTCGTCATTTAGATTGACGACATATTGCCAATTAAAAATAGTTATTTCCATTTTCATGATGGCACAAAATTTCCCCATGCTTGAAATTAAAGATGCCGAGAAAAGGTAATAATTTGCATCTCTCAACCGGCAAGTGACGGTGTCTCCATATGAGTAAAAATTCTCAAGAAGGAGGTTTAACAGAAAATAAATAAGCTAAATCTATGACAATTAATTTTTCATCCCTTCTAGAATTTTATACAGTTTGAAAATAATGTAGAGAATATAATTGTTGAGATATTTGAAAGATCTTTAACCTGGTATTGCACATATTTTCTTGTTTAATTTCAGACATTAGTTTCTCTCTGCCGAGATAATTCATTGTCAGATTTTTGGACACTGTAAGATTAAATCTTCAACTTCACATTCTTAACATTCACTCTCAGTTTCAAAATTGGTTTCCATCGTGGCTCTTGTAGAACAAGTCTTCTCAGATAGGTATGTAGTGGATCCAACTTTTAGTCTTTGTTTATATTTCCTGCAATAAAATCTATTTTATTTCTCCTTGAATACTTAAAGTTTAAAAGTTTAAAGTTTTAAATTCCTTGGAACTTTTTCTTTAATTACACTAAATTTTAAAATCTTAGGAAACAACAACTGACAAACTGAAACCGTATTAAAATAAAAAAAAAACGGGAAAGCAACGAAATATGAAATGTTTAAAGGTTTTCGTTGTTTTATGAGTACTGATTCTAAACTGTCTGTTATGGCACATTACCTATGTATAAGGATGAATGCAATGATTAGAAGAGTTGAAAAATACAACAACGCCACAACTATCGCAGCAACAGATCCAGAAGAAGTCTCTTTATGTAATTCCACCTAAAAATACATAAATCATTCCAAAAATATAAGATAAATATTTTTAAAACGTTATTTGTTTAAATTTTACGTTCATTAAAAGAAACCAAATATTGAGCTTACATTCTGTGTTCCACTGTCGCTCCGTTGTAAGGACATGCACGATTTAACCGCTATTTCATTTATTTCAATTATCTTCAGAGGCAAAGTCCTTGAGTCAAATCTCATCCATACTATGTACATGCTAGAATTAAAAAAGGAAATTGTTGTTAACGTAGATTACAACTTTGGTGTTTTACATGTTGAACTACGTGTAACAAACGGTAATAATACTTTCACACTCTAAGAAACAATATAACCCCCTGGGGATGGGGGATTCCTTGACTTTTAAGAAAAGTTGAGACCACGTACCATGAAGGAACAAAGATCTACTGTCGATCAATCACATCTAAAGATACATATAAACTAAAGAAATAAATATAAGATAATCAACTTCGTCTTCTTTGCAATACTAACAGGTAGTGCTTATTATGCAAGAATAAAAAAAAATTATTCATTTTTTAAAAGACAATTCAGCATTTAAAGTAAATATGAAATAACAAATTACTTTTCTTGGAAAGTGAAATTAAATTTCACTTGCACATCAGTCACTCCATATTCCCAAACGATGTCCATTAATTCTTTCTTGACTACGTTAAACTGGTATTTACTTTTCACCTCTATGACAAGTTCCCCTTAATGGCGAATTGATAAAAGAACATTATTTTCATTTAGTGAGTATTTGTCAAAATACTATATTAAGAACTTTATTAAACATAAAATTTATTATGCAATGCATACCTACTGTATCCAGAAAATATCTTGACTGGCAATTATTTGATATCAAAGTTATTGAAGATGAAGGTTGGGATGTTTTTTCAACAGTTGAAGATGAGAAGGCAGATGTTGAAGTTGGTGATGTAGATGACTCAGAACTTATGCGGTCTAGATATGAGGTACTTCCTGATGAAGGTAATGTTGGATGTTCATCTGTTGGTGAGAGAGATTTTGATTCCGTTACATTTTGACTTAAAAAATTGGTCGATGGTTGATGACGTCTTGTTGTTGACAAACCACTTGATTCACTTGGGGATCCCACGTCAATTAAAGGGGTCTGCGGCTTTGAAACGTGAGTGTTGTTTGAATATTCACTCATTTGAGTTTTAGACATGTAATTATCAGATTTTTCTGTAAAAATAACACCTTCTGTGGTCGTGGCTTGTGTCTCTACAGATGGGTATTTTATAGTGTTGGTTGTTAGGTTTATCAACTCTGTTATTGCTTTTGTAGATTGCTCTGATTGTTTTGTCGGTTCCAAAGACAAATCAGAATATTTTTGTAAGGTAAACTGTGTAGAGAGCTTTGGTTCTGTTTCTGACGGTACTGTTTTTGGAACAGTTGATGAGATTATATCTAAAGTCAAGGATTCCCTAGAGATATTTTGAGAGAACTGTTCTTTTCCCTGTGTTGAATGAGTTCCTTTTGACAAAGTTACATTCTCAGTGGCTGATTGTAATGTCGAAAGACTTTCCATCTTGTTTGTGAATGTTTGATCCGAGTGGCTAGTGTATAAAGTTTCTAACATTGTTTCACTTTCTGTTGTCCCTAAAGACTTCTGCGGTGTGCTTAACAAAGAATAGTTTTTGCTTGACACGCTGTTCGAGTTTAAGTTATTTGACTCCGTAGACAGATCATTTGAATTAATTTCCTCCGCGATAGTTGTCAAATCGTCAGATGAAGGTTTGGAACTTGATTCTGAACTAACCTCTAATGTAGATTCAGCACTAGATTTGGTAATGTTTTCTAATATAGAATGAATTGTTTTCAAATCTACAACAGCTGTTACATTTACATCGTTTGTTTGCTGTGTTTTGAATTCTCCAGTTGTAGAAGGTTCTGCAATTGTTGACTGCGTACTTGAACTGAATTCAGATGATAGAGTAACTATTTCTGATACATATTCAGTTTGCATTGTTATCGCATTTGGTCCATCTGAAGAAAGAGTATTGGTTTGTGGAGAAGATGCGAATTCTTCGTGTTTAAATGTCATGTTGTTTAATCCATCGCTTGGAATGGACGATTGAAAATCACCATTTGAAGAAACAGTCTGAACTTCATAGGACGTTTTCTCAATCATATTTTGAGAAAATGTTAACTCAACAGTTGATTTGTTTTCCTGTTGCTCAGTTGTAATCGAGTTTGAAACCGAATATGAATTGTTTGATAAAATAGAATCTGGAGATGATGTAAAGTTGTAATTTACTATGTCATAGGTATTTTCTTCAAATGTTGTTCCAAAGTCAGCGGTGGATGGAAAGGTTATGTCAATTTCCTTCGAATTCTCAGCAGGGTTTGTCATAGTTTGGTCTGGTTGTGTAACAGAAGTGAATTCGTTTGTGATAAAAGTTTCATTTATTGTTAATGCGATTGTTTCAGTTGCAATATTGTTATTATATTCAACAGAAATTGAGTTGTTTTCTACTTTATGAGCATTGGTAGAAGTGTTCATTCTTTGGGAATCCGTGAAAGTGTCTGGTTCGTTAGTTGTGGAAATGTCCAGTTTTCCATCTGTGGTAGTTTCTTTTATCAAGGTTTGGCCAGGTTGTGTGACAAAAGTTGATTCCTTTGTAAGAAACGTTTCTTTTAATGTATATGAATTCGTTTCAGATGTAAAATTCATATTATATTCAAAAGAGATTGAGTTGTTTTCTACTGTCCGAACATTGCTAGTAGTGAATATTCCTAAGGATTCCGTGAAAGTATCTGTTTCGTTCACTGTGAAAATGTCCAATTTTTTATCTGTCGTAGTTTTTTCTGTCATGGTTTGACTTGGTTGTGTGATAAAAGTGGATTGCTTTGTGATAAACGTTTCATTTATTGTTAACGAGTTTGTTTCAGTTGTAATATTGTTATTATATTCAACAGAACTTGTGTCGTTTTCTTCTGTCTGAGCATTGCTAGTAGTGAATATAGTGAAAGCATTAGTTTCGTTAATTGTGGAAATGTCCAATTTTCCATCCGGTGTGGTTTCGTTAAGCAAAGTTGTAATTTCCATCAAATCAGTAGTGGGATTTTCATTTGTAACATCATTTGAACTGAATGGATTTTCGGAGACTGTAGGAGTAAAATATTCCGTCTGTTCTTCAGAAAGTCTTACATTTAAACCTTCAGTAAGTTCATATGGTGTGGTAAATGTAATCTTTGCAGGGTTTGTTGAGCTTAATTCACTATCTGTTTTCACACTTGGCAATTCTTTCATTGATAATGAAGTACTATCATTCGATAATGAAACAGTTATAAGGTCCAGAATTTGCTCCGCTGAAGAATTATTGCCTATTATGGTAGATTCTCTCTCGTTTGCACTTGGTGTCGATGTATTGTCTATGCCATTAAAGATTAATCAACACCGAAATTAAACTTTTAAAAATTGCTTGTGCTTAATTTCTTATGTTTGATCATTATATTCCTCAAAGAATTTAAAACTTGTTTCCTTTTAAATTAATGCGATAATATTTAGAATATCTACCTGTAAATACCATGGTACTATCAGAAGTGAACAGCCGAGTTTCATTCGTTGCTACTTCCTTTGGAATTACAACTTCGCAGCGACTACCTTTAATATATTGAATCGTGTAAAGTTTAGCAAGAAAATGCATTTTCGGAAAATGATTTGCAACTGAGACGATAATTTTCAGTCGTAAAAGCATGATATTGGCTAAATAAACCTTTCTTGTTGCCAATGCTAGATATAAACGGCTAGTATTGTCAAGATTCGATTTGTTGAATGGTTTAAAAAGTTTTTGTTGCCCTTCAAGCCAAATAAAAACTCCTATTGAATAATGACCGGAAATCTTTTTAAATATCAAAATATGTCCTTTTATTGTCATTCTACATAGGAAATTTGACCTCGAGGTCACCTTGAAAATTTGCATACCCTTTATTCGTCTTTACACTCGTGCTCTGCTCGTTTGGCCAAAGAGCAGAGAAGGATCCATTTTTAAAATGTTCTTAATGATATAAATGAAAATAAAATTAGTATTCAAGCTCAAAAGTCCATTCAAACAATACATATCAGGAGCAGAGCAATCAAGGACTTCTGAAACGTCAGAGATGGAGTTAGGTGCCCATGGAGGAGTGAGCATATCCTGCCTACCGGTATTTCATACTTTGTATTTCAGTTACATGAGTTTGTAATTTTCATGAACTAAAGGAATATTCTAATTATCCTTTTCAGCATTGGCAATAACATTAAACTTACTTCTATTTGTAATCTAGAGTTAACAAACAGGATTTGTGTTAATAAGGGGAATTTAATAAATCGGGGTAAAATTAACGAGAAATGTTCGAATACGATTAATCATAATAGAAAATTGTTCTGTGATTGTTCATATCTTTGAGCATTTCTTCATAAATGCAGTTCTTAATATTTTTTACTCAATACAATTTTAAACTTCTTATACTTTTGTTCATGGGAAGAAAAGGAACGGGTAACATCGCATCGTTACGATGATCATGAGTTGTATGGAATACCTGAATTACATGGAATGGATATATATATATAACCTTGAGAACAATGCATGTAATATCTTAATGCATTTGTAACAAACTTTTACCTGTAAAATCTTCTGAACAATGGCATTTATAGGTATTGTGAAGGTCCTCACAGGTTCCCGAATTTAAACAAGCTAGGGAATGGCAGTCGTTAATGCTAGCCGAACAATCACTTCCGGTCCACCCTATGGTGTTTACATTAAATGACATTAACCAAACGCTCAGTAAACATTAATACATTAAAGAATCAAATACTTGCTGTAAAAACAACAAGGTTTTTATCATTAAATTGGTCTCTAAAATTAATTGATTGAAGATATTTTCGAAAAAATATAATAATACAGTGAAAACTATCCAATACGACATACACTAGGAGAAGAACTTTGTGTCGGAATAGACAGGGTGTCGGATTACAGAGTGTAGAGAAACATGAAAAGTAGTAAATGGGAACAAATTTAACGTCAGAATTCACAGTGAATCGTATTGCACAAGTGTCGGATTGGACAGTTTTCACTGTAATTGCAACAGGCAAAACTACATATCTTTAAAAGGATAAATAATACAAACAAACTTTTTTTTTCAGAAATCAGCAATATTTCTCATATATTTACAATTAAATTGGTAATCTGAATAATCTTTACCAAGTATTATGGGAGAATTTTATAAGATTTTGTCATAATATTAAAAATTTTTGCAAATTTTTTAGAATTTTTTGGAATTATAGAAAGCAAAACAAAATCTCATTTCTAAGCACCAAGGAAAACCTACGATTGCTTTATATTTCAGGGACTTATTATTTATGTCATTTCAAATCAAAATCAGTCAAAAAATATATATCAACCCATGCATCAAATTTTTGTTTGTGTTAAGTACACTTAAGAGAGTAGCTCAGGATGTTGGAAAAATGATAGATTTTTTGCATTATTTCCATTTCTTGCCTGATAGACACACTTTGTTTCCAACACTATCGCAGACATAATGTATTCCATCTGGTTGGCAAAATGTCGTACAATCTTGTCCGTAGTAGTTTTCCAGGCAATGAATGTCATACAGCATTTGAATCCTCAATAAATAAGACACAATACTCAGTTTCTATAAGGAATTTGTAAAAATTGTCCAATATTGTTCAAAAACGTTTAAGAAATATAATAACATATCTTGAACTTTATAAAATTTAACCAATTTTCCTTTTGAAAATCCAAGAATTATAATCACCACTCAATAAATTCAATTAAATTCAGAACAATAGATTTTTCCAGGGTGCAGAGAATATGTTTCATGGTAAACTAAGCTAATATCTTCAAATTGAAAACAGTAACACTCTGTCAAAAGACCGTTTTCCTGAAATGATCAAAGAATATTCAATTTTGTTTTTTTTTTAAAAAGAGATTCTATTTCAGTTTGACGTATTGATTGTCTAAACATTTTCAATTTGTAAAACTTTTAGCATATTTAGCCATTATAGATACAATACGGAAGAGTTTAAAATGAATGCTTGGTTTTCTGGCAATCTTAATTTGTAGAATAAGGAAATAAATTATTCACCTGGCATATCCGCTACTGAAATTGTCTGTGAAAGCGGTGTTACTGCCGTTATATCCAGGAGCTTTGTTTGGCGTGAGAGTTATCGTTCCTATGTGGTCGTGACCACCATCTGAATCGTCGTCATACACAGCAATACTGATGGTAAACTGACTCTACGTTATGTATGAAAAAAATTGTAAGTATACATAAGATTGTGGATTTTAAAAGATCATCATGTAGAACTATTGTTATTTACCTTCCAAATTTGAAATGGAATTTGAATAGGATTTTCCAGAGCTCCAAGTTTTGTCCCAAATGAAACTGAACCCGTATCATCATATGGACCAGCTTTGTAGCGAAGAACTGAACACGACCTTGCAATATAATGTGGATTATATATTAATTTTGATTTGACATGTTCTAGTGAAATATGAATAGATATAAGCACATTGTTCACAATATGTGATTGACATTGTTATTACAATGATTTCTTAGAATAAAAAAGTTAATGGCATAATATGACTTTGGTATTTCAAAGCTTGTTGATAACGATTCATCACGTCATAGTTGTCTTTTATTCCTACTTAGATGTCAAAATTTCAAATTATTTTCAAAACATCAGCCGACAATTGGAAAAGTACAAGAGACAGATGTAAAAAGCTTTTTAAAAATAAAGAATAGCAAAACACTTTAGTCTGTCTGCTAAAACTTTAACATTTTCATCACTTATCGTTAATCTATTAAACTTGAGTCTGTCCTACCCTGTCTGAGTCGTGTCATGGATACAGATTGTAAAAGCTGGATCACAGTCCCCAGATGAACATCCAAATATGGAAAATATGTGTTCACAACAGCTGCCGTCTGATGTCTTTCCATCTGGGTTCGAGTAAGAGTCCAATTGCAAAGAGAGAAGCCCAAGTGCAGCCAAAGGCTACAATTAAATCGTAAAAAGAAAAACGAAAAGAAAAAAACTTTTTTTTAAAAATGTGAAATAATGCATTTCATTTCTTAAGTACATTTACATTCTTAAAAAACGGAACAAAATTGTGACAGCTAAAACGAAATTCATATTCAACACAATGTGTCTGAAATACTTTCATATCTTTATCAGGTATTAATTGTATCAAAATACAGTCATGTACATGTTTAGATTACTGCAATTAAGGTAAACATATATGCATCTTTAAATAAACTTATATCATGAAATACCTGAATAGTTTGAGAAATTACAAAAATAATCCAAAGAGATGATTCCTTCATTTTAAATAAGTTTCAGAAAACAAGAGATTCTGTTTCAAGATGCCAAAACAAAGCGTCATAGTCATAAATCATAAATGACCAGAATTATTAAAGTCTAGAGGAATCAACAAAGTTCAGAAAATTAGTATCTTTCTAATCTTTGATTGAGAAGTTTAAATGGTCACGCCTCATAACAAGATTTGATATTATGGATTTATTATGTTTAATGTCCACATTACCATTGTTTTTATCATTCAAACACACTGATTCTCAAATAGAACAGTTCTATGGACTTTTAATTCCACTTTCTTTAAAGATCGTATGTACTGGTCATGAAGAAGTCTGAGCACATGTGCAGGAACATGGAGTTTTCTACAATCAAGAGTTTGATCGATGACTTGTTGATAAAAACATTTTTTTCTTGTTTATAAACCAAAAATAAAATATAATAACTATTTGTACAAACATACATAATATAAAACTAAAATTACAAAAACGTTAAATATTGTCCAATAAATTATAAATATAACTAGGATAATGTATTAAGATAAATTGACGAAAGTTTTCAATTTTGAATCACAAGAAAGAAAAAAAAAATAAGATTGTCAAATTCATTTCCAAAACATTCTTCAAAATTTAATTTTAATTTCACAATTTTTTTGTAAATACAATGTATATCTGTGTACTTTGTGAAAAACGAAAGAGCCAATGATGACAATCGCTATCCGTTTTTTAATGTTTGATTGTATTTTGATACATAAAGAAGTTCACCCTATACCAATGAAAGACCAGTTAGTTTTACATTATTCCGGACGGTTGCTATTAACTTATAGTTTCAAAAGGTGAAAATGTCCTTAAAGCATAGTACAATATCTTCTCCAAATAATGACATGAAAGGTCTAAATCATGCCACAGTTAATCATTTATATGAAATATATAAATTATATCTAAAAGATTAATGTACTGTATTTTATGCAAATTCATGAATATATATCCAAAACGACCAAATCTATCAGAATGTTTAACTAATTACTGACAATAAATGTTATCAAGAAATTTTTAAGAAATTGGTTGTTATGTCTTAAAAACTTTAAATGTTACATAAGTACATGTATTAATAACAAATAATATTTATTCAATCAATTTTCTGAGTACATAAAATCAAAAGGAAAGTAAATGATGTTCTGACCACCTTTTACTTTCAATGATAGAAGAAAATAATTCAAAACACAACCATTATTTATCATTACAACAAAGAAGTGAGTGGCATGACTAAAGTTCGATAACTCAACAAGCATGCATAGTACTCACAAATCATTTCGTTCTGTCAATTAAAGCGTCTTCCACCAGACAAATTAATGTTCTTATTCATTTTGCTCTCTCTCTCTCTCTCTCTCTCTCTCTCTCTCTCTCTCTCTCTCTCTCTCCAACGTATTCAGTTATGATTTATTTTGCAAGAAATACAAGATAAATATATATTAATATATTGGTACATATCTACAACGGAGTCTATCTCCAAAATGAATGTAGATGCGTATAACTAAATAAAACGTGAATTAACTATGAATTTAACCTCAAGAAAACAAAAAGCGTACCAATCTTTGAATAATTAAACTAAATTCAAATGGATTACATTTAGCCATGACTAAAAAACATATTAACATGTTAACTTTCTTTAATTCAATTAAAGAAATTTTGAATTTAATTTTACTTTTCTCTAAATAATTTGAAGATATGTGCAAATGAATTAAATATAGGTACAATTTCAACACAGGATTTGAAGATAAATACAAGTCTATTATACCTTGTCGTTTGAACTGCACATAAATATATCTTTAAATGATATAAACATATCTATCGTCAAATCTACTCATCAACTATTCAAGTATACTAATCTCCAAATGAAAAAAAATGAAATCTTTCAAAAAGATCAAACCTTTCACCAATTTATATGGAGATAGAAATAATTGATTTAAAGTACTGGGTATGGCCTCCATTTTGTTTTTAAGGTTCAAAACAAAAAAAAGTTGTTTGCTCTGTGAAATTACCGTAGCCATACGCATTTAAAAGGAAAACTAGAGTACTGTGAGCAATGAGCTCACTAATGTCCCCCCCCCCCCGCCTCCCATAATGTCCATGTGTTGCTAAATATTGTTTTACGGTAATGTGTAAAGAGGAATAACTCGTCCTTTCAAATGTTATCCAGAAGCTTCTATATGTGACGTCATAGGTAATCATGTAATGGCAATGTCAATGTTTTGCTATGGGAAGCCTAAAATACGAGTCGAATAAAAAAGTAAAATAGGAGGTGCACAATGGCAATATGTAATAATGATTCTGTGAAAGTTTCATTAAATTTCAATCAGTAGTATGAGAGGAGTTGCGGATAAGAGATAAAGCGTAACAGACGGACGGATGGACAGCTAGACGGACGGACGGACGGAAATCCCGATTACTATATACCCTCCTACTTTTCAAGCGGGGGGTATAATAATTCTCTAAGAATCTTTTTTTTTCAACAAACTACCTTTTATATAAAAAATCAATTTTGCAATGGTTATATTAACATTTACAGCTGTAAGAACAGAAAGAAATAGATATTTTTCAAATAAATCTTTAGATAAAACTAGAGGTACTGTGAGCAATGAGCTCACTAAATGATACCCCCCGCCTCCCATAATGTCGATGTGTTGCTTTATATTGTTTTACGGTAATGTGTAAAGAGGAATAACTCGTCCTATCAAATGTTATCCAGAAGCTTCTATTATGTGACGTCATAGGTAAACAAAAAATGGCAATGTCCATGTTTTGCTCTGGGAAACCTAAAGTACGTGTCGAATAAAAAAATAAAATAGGAGGTGCACAATGGCAATATGTAATAAAGATTCTGTGAAAGTTTCATTAAATTTCACTCAGTATTATAAGAGGAGTTGTGGATAAGAGAAAAGGCGTAACAGACGGACGGACGGACGTACAGACGGACGGACGGACAGACGGACGGACGGACGGAATTCCCGATCACTATATACCCTCCCGCTTTTCAAGCGGGGGGTATAACTAGAGGTACTGTGAGCAATGAGCTCACTAAATGATACCCCCCGCCTCCCATATGAATAAAATGGCAGTGTCAATGTTTTGCTCTGGAAAATCCAAAATATATGTCAGATCAAAAAGTAAAATAGGAGGTGCACAAGGGCAATATATAATAAAGATTCTGTGAAAGTTTCATTAAATTTCCTTCAGTGGTATAAGAGGAGTTGCGGATAAGAGAAGGGTACCCCGAAGCGTAACAGACGGACGGACGGACGTACAGACGGACGGACGGACAGACGGACGGACGGAATTAACGATTACTATATACCCTCCCGCTTTTCAAGCGGGGGGGTATAATGATAAAATAGTTTATAAACTAGAGGTACTGTGAGCAATGAGCTCACTAAATGATACCCCCCGCCTCCCATAATGTCGATGTGTTGCTTTATATTGTTTTACGGTAATGTGTAAAGAGGAATAACTCGTCCTATCAAATGTTATCCAGAAGCTTCTATTATGTGACGTCAAAGGTAAACAACAAATGGCAATGTCCATGTTTTGCTCTGGGAAACCTAAAATACGTGTCGAATAAAAAAGTAAAATAGGAGGTGCACAATGGCAATATGTAATAAAGATTCTGTGAAAGTTTCATTAAATTTCACTCAGTAGTATAAGAGGAGTTGTGGATAAGAGAAAAAGCGTAACAGACGGACGGACGGACGTACAGACGGACGGACGGACGGACAGACGGACGGACGGAAATCCCGATCACTATATACCCTCCCGCTTTTCAAGCGGGGGGTATAAAAATGTCATCATTAAAGAGTAAAGATATTATACTATACAGGAATTAAAATGTAAACGAAAGTATGTTGCAAAATTTCACCCACCCACGTGCACCCTTCCCTAAAATATTTGTAAAGGTTTTTGCTGCTTTTTCTTCTGTAATTTCAGTATCAGAAGCATATTCTCAAATGGAAAGTGAGGTGTATGTGGAGCACCCTAGCGGTTGGAATCATAAGCGCAAAGGAAGGGCGTGGTCATTATGCATATGGTGGGACCATTTGTGTTTATTGAGCATTTTCTGTTAAAACAAATGTAAACGATTCAATACTGAGTTTTATTGGACATTTTTAAGGTGTGATACATGTACATAATCAGTACTTCAGTGGCATTGGTGATCATTGAGGATTATGTGCTTACGTACAGTGTTACTGTACAGTGTCACTTTTAATAAGTATGGCAAGCATGTATAGCTTGTAACCATACATTGAGATTTTCTAGGTTTGGGATTATGGTAAAGTTTCTTAAGTCACAATTTGGGTTGGGGGCGGCGGAGTTCGGGGATTACACGAATGAGGAATTATCTCATGTCTGGCTCAAAACTCTTGGTAATCTATCCTCAGTCCTGGGAAGATTTGGGGGTTACCTCAGCGGTACCTGAGTGACCAGCTTGATCCTTGTGGTATCAAAGGCAAGTTTTGGGGCCTACCCCTGGGGGTAATATCCCCATGGTATACCAGGGTGTGAGGCAGATAGAGTTAGGGCCTGAGTCAGAACTTGAATTCATTCATTCCGTGTGGCATTCCCTCTTGTTGGTACCAAGAGGTCTGTTCCCACCACAGTCACTTGTGGGGGCGCTAACACGCCATGTTAGTAGGGAGGTCATCCCGGTAGGCAGGTTGTGATTCTCAGGATTCCGCCGGGGTATTTACATCTATGTAAAAATAGACTGTGACAAATAGTTGCCACAAAATGTGATAATTGTTTTACAATAAATGTGATTAAAATTAGTATCTGTCTTTATTCATTGCATCTGGGATTAACTCATGATAACATATTGTTTAAATTGAATTTAATAGCATCTATTTGTGTATACAAAATAGATGCCTTTATTTTACGAGAAAAGTATATTTGAATGGACCTATAAACTAGTTTATAGGTCCCAAGTATTTGTTATTTGAACGTTGGCTTTTAGGGGTCGGGTTCGGTTGACACATCAAGTGTAGTATATAAAAGGTCGGGTTTGATCTTCACATTCCTTTCTCCTGAACATTTCGAAGGTAAAGACGCAT